TTATTTATTTATCACAAGAAGAAGCAGAAGATTATTTAAAAAACTTTTTAATGTATAAAGAATTATATAATACAATCAAGAAGCAAGGATTAGAGGATAAAATTATTGATAAACAACGGGATGAATTATTTGAAACACTTTCTATTTCAAATTTTGATAGAGAATTTTTGCATTCACTCATTTTTCTAGATGATGCAGTGAAATCAAAACTAATAACAAATGAGAAATCATATTTTAATCAGTTATTAACTCAATGTCGACACATTCAGTGTTCATTCTTATGGCTGTTCAATACTTCAAAGCATTAAGCACAAACATTAAATCAAATCTATCAACACTTTTCATTTTCAGTGGGTTTAGTCGTCAACAGTTGAACGTTATGCTTTATCAAGTGAATTTACCAATGAGCATTAATGAACTTTACACACAATATCAGCAATTAGGTGAACATGGAAAAATAATAGTTGATTTAAATAAAGGAAGTGTTAAATTTGATTAACTTTTTATAATTAATTTTTATTTTTTATTTATAATTAAACATGACAGAAATAGCAAATCTTCTACAGGTTCCATTAAAACAAGGGACAAACAAAAAGGGTGCATATAATAGAACTATGAAAGTTCCTGATGGAATGAAAGAATTAGTTCATATTGTTGCTGGTCTTCAAAAAGATGTTAAACAAATGAGAAACGTTTTAACATTACCAGAAGCTCAAGCATATGCCAAACGTCATGGTCCAAATTGGGAAGCACACGAAGCAGACATTACGGGTCCAAATGGAAAACCTGATGGTATAAATGAAGTTTTCGTTACTGATGGTCAAGGTAATATTAAAGTCATAAATGGTTATAAATTAACTATATCTGATTATCCTAAACGTAAATATATAATGAACGTTATCCTATGCAATTTGATGAAAATGGAAAAGCTGTTAAACAATACATTGGAGAAGGTGAAAATGGTCCAATTAATTCATACCGTCATAATCCATATTCTTATTTCAATGAAGAATTAAATGCTATTGAAGAGGGACCGGATGGATTACCACGATATTCTAACCAGTTTGATGGTCAATATGCAAATATTAGACCTGAAATTTCAGCTAAGAAATTCTTTAAAGTTGCTTTATTCGATCCAGTTTTCGCAAATGTTAAAGATGAACTTAAACAGCAATTCCAACCAATTATAGTAGCAAGAATTGCATCAGGTGCTTTATCTCAAGCATTCAAAGATTTAATTAAGAAACCATTATATCAGCAACGAGGTTTAACTTATGATTTAGTTAAGGAATCAGATAAAAGAAAATTTGAGAAATCAGATGATTATAAGAATGCAATTAATGAATATATTCGGTCTATTAATTTCGATGAAAATGCTAAAAATCAACTTCATGAACAAATACAGGGAATAATAGATTCAAAAGTTCCAGCAAAATAAAAGTTTAAATATATTTTTTTATTCGATATAAATGAGAAGACGTTTCACTAGTCAAAAGAACACTAACGCAAAAGCAGAGATTACGGTTGGTTATAACGTAAATGATGATAAATCACGAATTATTCAAAATGTTAAAGTTAATGTTAGCCCTGAATTAACAAGGTCAGCAACTCAACCAAATTTATTAACTCGTGACTTACCGAAGAATGAGGAGAATGAAGAAAACCATGAGAATGGAGACCCAATCATTTTATCTGAACCCGGTAAAGAACCTGTTGAAATTCCCACTTATCCAACATACCCCCACCTCTTTCATCAAACATCGAGAACCCATATAAAATAGACATTAATTCTGAATTAATGAAAATTTACCGTGATATAATAATTAATAATTATGATTCAATAATAAATTTAATTGACCAATCCGGTTTAATTATTTTACCTTATGAATCATTAATTCACATTATCGCCATTCTTTGTGATGTTCAAGATTCAGACGTTAAGATTCAATTTTTCATAGATGATGAGGTTTCATGCTGCGGAACAGTTGCAAAAATAAATCCTATAAAGGATATTAGCACAATTAAGATATCAAAGAACGGAACAACAACTGAACTTCATTTAACATATAATGATATTTATAATAAAATAGTTGATGAATATAAAATATCACTTGAAAAATTCTTTGTTAAGGCTATTTAATATTCAAGCATTAACATTATCGAATAATAATCCTTTGAATCATAATCAATAATAATTGACCTTTCACCAGTTTCTATCGTTTGTTTTATTTCTTTTTGTTCCCCACTATCTGGATCGGTCATTGTAATTGTTTTTGTTATAGTATCAGCTTTATCTTTAACTTCAATCTTTTTTCCATCGGGATATTTAAACCAAAATTCCAAAAATTCGATATTGTCAATCTGTTCATATTTTAATCTATCAATTACATTTTTAATACCATCTGAAAATCTTATGAAATGGTCATTATATGGGTTTGATTGAACTAAATTTGAATGAAGTGAAATATAACCTGTTGATGAATATGACATTGACTCATATTTTCTGAAAACACTAAAATTTATAACATGAATGAATTTCTTATTCGTTGAATTTATGAATTCTTGAGGTAATCTTATTCTAGTTTTATTTATCACTGGAAAATAACGCTTTACCATATTTTTAATCGTAATAAAAATGTCAATTATCAATATTATTTCGAATAATAACTGTGAATTAAATTTAACAGTTAGCGGAATTTATAATGTTACTCTCGTTTCTGTGAGTGGTAAATTTAATCCCATTCTTTTAGACCCTTCAGATTATATATCATTTATTAAAGATGACCTTGAAAAAACGTATGATATGTATATAAATAATGTGATAGCGAAATGGGATATTAACATGATTTTAAGTTATTTAAATGAATCATTTATCGTATGGTATGAAGAAAATTTTAAATCAAAACCGATAAACTTTTTGAACTTGATGAAATAAATAACCTTATTAAATTTCCGCTGAAAATTAAATTTTGTACTCCTCATCTTCGTTCATTGTTGGGATATTAAATTTTGAAAAAGATGTTGGGGATGTTTTGTATTCTGACACTGGTTCCAATTTCATTTTAATCAAATGTGATAAAGTTAATACCCCAATGAGATTTTCACATCAAACATTAGACCCTAACTCTTACCCATCAATACAAAACATTTTATCCATCAACTTAAACACATTTTCTTTATCATATCCGTTTCAATTATCCGGGAATTCATTTATTCTTCATTCAAAAGATTTATCAAATATTAAATTTAGAATAACTGACCTATTTGATTGTGATTTAGAATTCATGAATGAAATATTATGGCAATTTCAAATAGAAAAAATAGCTGATGAGATAACAGATTAAATATTTATTTTTAAATCATAATAAATGATTAAAAACAAACAGCAACCACACAACTTAAGGCGCAAAGCACCCAGGTCCTTCAGACCATTACATACGCCATATATGCATATAATTCAAAGACGGCAGAACAAACGCAAAGGTTGAAATATGGAGATTTGGAGATAGTATTGAAAAATGACCGTTTCGAAATCGTTTGCAAAGGTGGTGCAGTGATATCAAATATAAAAGAAATTTTATTTATGAATTCTAAAATTAAAGGAATAACGGATGATATAACATCAATTCCACCAGAAGAACAGAGATATTACGCATTAAATGCATTTCCTAAAGTTTTGAAGATTGGAAGATTTAATTTAAATGAGGAATTCATAGAAGGTTTCCTAAACGACATAATGAAGAAGCAGATAAGGAATATGTGGATAGTGAGTTAAATAAGAAGGCAAATTTGGTTTATGTTGATGAAAAAGATAATGAAATTAAAGAAAAGGTTGAATGGTATCATGAATGGACATTTGAGACTTTTAAAGTTAAAGCGATACAGAATGGGTTTCAGGATGTTTAGACCTTAAAGCAGATAAAACTTATGTTGATGAAAATTATGCAAAGAAGTCGGAAGTAAATGATGTGATTACAAGCATGAAAAATGAAATACTTCAAACATTATATCCTGTTGGTTCTATTTATACATCAATGAACTCAACAAATCCATCAACAGTTTTAGGTTTTGGTATGTGGAAGCAGATTGTAGATAAATTCTTATACTGTGCTAGATATTCAAAGCAAACAGGAGGTTCGAAGAAAATTAAAGAAGCAAACCTTCCACCGCACACTCATACAGGAACTACAAACACAACAGGTAATCATTCACATTCAATAACAAAAAGAGGTTATATAAATCTTGCAGCGGGTTCGGATAGATGGGGAATGAATAGATATGATATCACAACTGACCCAGTAGATTCAAGCACAGGTATTTTCTGTGGAACCGCAGGTAATCATTCACACACTTTCACAACAAATCCAACAGGCTCGGGTAAAGATTACATGCCACCATTTGTGACTGTATTCGCATGGTACCGCGTTCATTGAATGTGCTTGAGCCCAGACTTTTGGGTCAAGGCTTACCGAATGAACTAAATATATTTTATGTCTGTAATTAATTAGGTAATGAAGTAATGGATGAACTGCAGAAATAAATGTTTACGTTAATGTTTACGTTAAGTGACTCAAAGAGTCCGGAGACAAAGTCTCATGGTTTCAGGTTATTCAATAATTAATTATTTTTGAAGAACTGAAGGTGCTACCATGTTACCATGTGCTACCAGGTTAACTAACTTCTCTGAAAAAATGAGACAACATGACATTTTGACAACAACACAGGAGGAAGGCAGTTATGAATTATTTTTGAAGAACTGAAGGTGCTACCATGTTACCATGTGCTACCAGGTTAACTAACTTCTCTGAAAAAATGAGACAACATGACATTTTGACAACAACACAGGAGGAAGGCAGTTATGAATTATTTTTGAAGAACTGAAGGTGCTACCATGTTACCATGTGCTACCAGGTTAACTAACTTCTCTGAAAAAATGAGACAACATGACATTTTGACAACAACACAGGAGGATTAATGCAAAAATAAATTCAAATCATACTTTATAAAGCATCATTTACAGGTATTTCATCGTCAGTAAATGAATCATCATTATCATTTGTTTCAACCTGTTTATATAATCCTTTCATTTCTTCTTTCAAAACATAACACCATGTTTGTTTATCGTCTATTCTTCTATGTTTCCTATCACATTTATCCTTAATACTCATTTGAAAGTTTTTGTCTTTCATGTCTGATGGTTTGCAGAATAGAGCATTTTTACACGTCATACCCGCACACAATTCATCATAATGTGTATTTATCCATACATCTAAAGGATTTGTTGATAATTCAATTAAATCTTGTTTGGCTTCAGTCATCGGTATGATTCGTACATTAAATGATGAAAGGTCGTAATTGATAAAATATGTTAGTAAATTATCATAAAATTCCTTTGTGCATGAATCCATTAAATTCTTGAAGTAATCAAATTGACCCTTAAATTTACCATTAACTCTTAAAACTACGTATCTTCTGTCTCCAACTTCAATTTTGACAGGGTAGACGTTATTAGTTACGAAAATGAAGTTTGCAACATTCTGAGCAGTTCTTCTGGGTTGATTCTTTTCATTAATTCTAATCTCATTATCCGTTATAATTGATTTCAAAGCGTTGAAGTTTGCAAGTCTGTCTTCACCCACATTCTTGAGTTCATTAAGTACAAGAAACATTTTATTCTCAACCACCGAATTAAAATTACCCGTTAGCTCACTTATTTCGGTAATGTTTTTACATGAATAACCAGCGAGGAGTTCAGAAATAATGTCTGTAAATCTGTTTTTACCTGTTCCCTGAAGTCCTTTCAAAATAATTGCTGTTTCATTCTTGATTCCAGGATGTTGAATCATTGATGCAATCCAGCCGAGAAGGTATTTATACACTTCATCGTTATTATCACAAATGGCTTCTTTAATGAAATTCATAAACATCTCAATTTTTGAGTAATCAGGCTTTTCGAGAACGTTGTATTTATAACCTTGAAATGTTGAGAAAACATCTGGAGAATCAGATTTAAAGCAAACACCCTTAACGGTTAATGAGGATAATTGATTTAGTAGTACATCCCATGCTGTTATTGTTTTACCTTCTTCTTTAAATAATTTAATCATTTTGAGTGACTCTTTCATGTTTGATTGAAGAACGAATGATATTTGATTCATTTTATCATGAATATTATAGTCCTTTTGAATGAAGTATTTGTTTCCATAATCTACAAAACGGATTACACGTGATAAATCCTCAATTACTTCAGAACTGTTTTTATACTGATGATTTTCAGCTTTGCGTCTAATATCTTTTATCAAAAACGAGTCATCAAGTTTTATATCAAATGTTATTTTTGGCTTACGTAATAAAGGTAAAACATATTCATCATAATATTCCTTTTGATAAAGTTTTAGAATCTTCACTAAAACAAATGGAGAAGTCATTAAATGTGCATATCTACTACGTGCTTTTTCAAAATTACTTTTTGCATTTTCTGTTAAACTGCAGAAGTTATAAACGTTATCGTATGCTTCATTAATCAAATGATTAGGTAACGAATTAATAGCTTGAAACAGTGTGAATAATGTTATTTCTTTTTCTAAATTCATGTTTCCACCGTCATTATGTACTTCAAAATCACAGATGCCATCAACTATGCTCTGGGCAAGTTTATCGTCAATGTTTACATCTTTGTTTTCATTCATGATAATCTTTATTTCTTCGTTCTTCTGTTCAACTCTTACCTTAATATTCAAATCATTTAATATATCGTTTACGGTTCTAGTTAATGTTGAATCATAACTTCCACGAATGAATGAGTATGTTTTGATTGGTTCTGTTGCATTCTTTCGAACTCTTGAATCAGCCATAACCACTAATGAACGTTTTGAATCATCAATAGAAGTCATTATATCAATATCATAATCATTGCAGGAATAACATTTAATCATTCTGTTCGAAACTGAATAGAAGAAATTAGTGTTGCAATAAATGTGAAGACCTCCTGAAGCGGTTTTAACGATAACATCTTTATCCGAAAGTTTTGATAAAATATCTTTTCTAACTGTTTCTTTAAGTTCATCATTGTACGATTTATTGATATCAACATCTATAATCGTTAAATTCGAAATTTTATTTACTAATAAAGCCATACCAGTTTTCCTTCCTCTTCCTCCATCATGTTTGAGGTAGTTATGTAAATCAATCTTGTTTTCACCAATTCTTTCGTTGAGGGTTTTAGTTTCTGCCACAACTAATTCCTCAGCTAATGAATCAATAACTTTTTCATCAGAAACGATATAGTTGCTGTTGTTGTTTGTTGCTGTCATTTATATAGGAATAAAAAAATAAAAATAACTTTAAAACTAACGTTATTTTTGGACTGCATCAAATTTTCATTAATGTTGTCAAAATGTCATGTTGTCTCATTTTTTCAGAGAAGTTAGTTAACCTGGTAGCACATGGTAACATGGTAGCACCTTCAGTTCTTCAAAAATAATTCATAACTGCCTTCCTCCTGTGTTGTTGTCAAAATGTCATGTTGTCTCATTTTTTCAGAGAAGTTAGTTAACCTGGTAGCACATGGTAACATGGTAGCACCTTCAGTTCTTCAAAAATAATTCATAACTGCCTTCCTCCTGTGTTGTTGTCAAAATGTCATGTTGTCTCATTTTTTCAGAGAAGTTAGTTAACCTGGTAGCACATGGTAACATGGTAGCACCTTCAGTTCTTCAAAAATAATTCATAACTGCCTTCCTCCTGTGTTGTTGTCAAAATGTCATGTTGTCTCATTTTTTCAGAGAAGTTAGTTAACCTGGTAGCACATGGTAACATGGTAGCACCTTCAGTTCTTCAAAAATAATTCATAACTGCCTTCCTCCTGTGTTGTTGTCAAAATGTCATGTTGTCTCATTTTTTCAGAGAAGTTAGTTAACCTGGTAGCACATGGTAACATGGTAGCACCTTCAGTTCTTCAAAAATAATTCATAACTGCCTTCCTCCTGTGTTGTTGTCAAAATGTCATGTTGTCTCATTTTTTCAGAGAAGTTAGTTAACCTGGTAGCACATGGTAACATGGTAGCACCTTCAGTTCTTCAAAAATAATTCATAACTGCCTTCCTCCTGTGTTGTTGTCAAAATGTCATGTTGTCTCATTTTTTCAGAGAAGTTAGTTAACCTGGTAGCACATGGTAACATGGTAGCACCTTCAGTTCTTCAAAAATAATTCATAACTGCCTTCCTCCTGTGTTGTTGTCAAAATGTCATGTTGTCTCATTTTTTCAGAGAAGTTAGTTAACCTGGTAGCACATGGTAACATGGTAGCACCTTCAGTTCTTCAAAAATAATTAATTATTGAATAACCTGAAACCATGAGACTTTGTCTCCGGACTCTTTGAGTCACTTAACGATAAAATATATTTTTGGGTCATGGGCTATGCCCCGCCACGTTGCGTCTTTATGACAAAAATAATGAGTTCATTTACTCACAATATTTTTTTACAAAACGACCCCAAGCTTTTAACTTCTTTTCTGCAGCTTCTAATGCTATCTTAGCGAGTTCATATTCTCTAAATTCTCTCTTTAAATTTTCTTGTTCCCATTGGTCTAGTTCGAATGGAGAATCTGTATAACCATAACATAACTCACGTTCATGTTCTAATTGTTTTTCGCACATTTTTCTAACTTCTTCTTCAAACAAAGGTTTAGCATTCTCTACTGTATCTTCAAGTTCTTCTTCATCTAATTTCTCATGAACTTTCTTGTCTATGGAGTCCATAATATCTTTGACATAAAATGCATACTTTACAGAGCACCATTCAGCAACAAAATGAACGAAGTCAGGATGTATGTAAATACCTTTGAATTCATTTATAACACCCTTAGTAAGCTTATAAAATGCTTGTTTTGAGGTCGAGCCACTTTTGGCTCCACCGTATTCGTTCATCCAAAACTCAAGAATTTCCTGCATTTTAGCACTATTGAGAAATCTGTTTAAATGGTTTAACTTTCCTGCTTCTCTTGCCATCTTTGTTGCATTAATGTAACCATCCTTGTCTCTACGTAAGACTTCAATACTGTTATAAGTGCCTTTTGTGAATGTTTCACCATTAGATTTGTTCGTGAATGTTTTTGCTTCGACCGACATTACTGTTCTTACATACAAAATAAAAAATAAATAAAAATAATTTTAAAACTACCTTTATTTTTGTACTGCATCAAATTTTCATTAATGTTGTCAAAATGTCATGTTGTCTCATTTTTTCAGAGAAGTTAGTTAACCTGGTAGCACATGGTAACATGGTAGCACCTTCAGTTCTTCAAAAATAATTAATTATTGAATAACCTGAAACCATGAGACTTTGTCTCCGGACTCTTTGAGTCACTTAACGATAAAATAACTGATAACAAATTTTTATTTTTATCATAAATGGATACCCCACAAGCTCAAAATTTACCACGAATCATAACAAGGGAGGAAACGATAAAAATGATGCGAGAACTTGCTAAAAATAACAAACCACTAAAACTGAGAAAATGTGTTTATGCAGTAATGATGGAAAGAGAGATGTTGTCAAAGAAAAATAAAAATTAAATTTGGATAGAGTTTAAAAATTCATCTTTATTAAATTCATCTCTTCCAATCAATTTATTTATTCTATTAAATTCTTTTATTTTTGGTTCACTCAGTTTAAGGATTGAACGGTAAGTTTCTAATTTTTCGATTATTTCCTTCTTCTCTTTATCGTTTTCAATTACTTTAGTTTTATGGGCATCAACCCCACCGCATTGCGACTTCTTTTTGTAATAGCATATTTTTGATTTAATTCTGTTTAGTTTCTTTTTATATTCATCGTCTGGACTCTGAATCTTAATTGAATCAGGACTCTTGACTGCTTTGTTGTCACTCATTTCTTACGAAATAAAAAAAATTAAATATTATTTAAATATAATGGAGTAATAAAATAAATCGGAATTTCTATTAATTTATTGTCAACTTCAACTAATGCATTGCCGTTAATATATCTAACAAATTCAGCTATTGTGTCAAATCTTCGTCTTCTTTTTGTCATTGATTTATTAGTTTTTCCATAATCGAGATGAATCAAAACTTTATCCCCTTGTTTAAAATTCATGAGCCCCGAATTAATTTGTTTCACGTTTAACATCATTCAACCTTTCCATTTGCTTTCTAATATATTCCCATTCTTTTGAAATATCATTTTTCATTTCCACTGGTTTCATGTTTATTGTTCTATGCCATGTATTATTGTAATAATATACTAACTGTTGTATGATGGAGTCATGATTTCCATCCCAGTATATCTGACCGTTAACCCCTAACGCATCTCTAAGAGTTCTCATTACCGCATCAACTATTTTATTATGAAACGTATATGGAGAGGATGAAAAGAAAAAATTAATTTGTGGGAAATAATGAGTCATAGTTGCCTGAAATCCTTTATCACCATCACCCCTTATATTATCTACTCTTTCATGATCTAGTAAGTATTGAATAGCTCTTCTTGTTTCCTGTTCTGTTTTCCCTTTCACTGGAATGCAATATAAATATCTAGTGTTAATGTTAATGGCAAATAAATAAGTAACGTTTCCTTTTGAATATTCCAGATGATCGATTTCGTATGAATATGGATATGGTGCAAATGAAGGGCGACTAAATTTTTCCTTTAATGGTTGAATTTTCGGGTCAATTGGTTTATTTAATATCTTGAAATCCTTTTTAAAATCTTTTTGCTTCTTTAATGTTTGAAATGGATATAATAAAGTGAATGATGAAGGATTAACTGAAGGAGGAGGCGGTACTGTCGTTGGAGGTTTTTGGTGTTGCAAGTGGTTTAATTTTATCTGCTTTGATTTTGGAATTCATTCCTCCTTTCATTAATTCTGGATGTATTCTATTCATTTGTTTTAAATATGCTGTATATAAAGGTTTGATATACTTTCCCGCTTCGAGTTTATGTTGAAGGATGAATTCCAAAAGTTGATCTTCATTTAAAAGTCGGGCTGAATATGGTTTAACTAATGAATCATAAATTAAAGCTTGTGCATCATTTATGGTCTGAAGGACCTGGGTGTTTTGTTCCTTTAGCTGTTGAACATTTGCTACTTTAGACCTCGGCTTTGGTTTTTGTGGCTCAGGATTATATAAATTATATAATTCATCAATATCTTCTTCTGTTAATACTTTATTTTTGAAATCTTTCAACTGTTTAAGTTGTGATTTAGTTTTTCCCTTTGTATATTCATTATTTTTAATTTTGTCTTTAATTTTTAGAAATTATTCTATCATGATATTTCAAAATTTCATTTTTATAATATGGATAATAATATTCCATATCATCACCCGTATATTATTATTATATTTTGGAGATATGATTTTAATTCATAATAACTAAGAAAATTTTGATTAAATACTAAATCATCAATTAAAATTTTAAATCTGTGTTATCCATTTATATAAAAATAAAATAAGTGTTTTAAGGGTGCCCACCTCTTTGAATCATAGTATCAAAACCATTATTTACATATTGAATCGCATCATTAACGGTTCCTTTTGTTCTTCTGTGGCATTTCATTAAAATTTAAATTGTATTAAATAAATGGCATACAACATCCATTTTCACAATACATCAGCCTTAGTGTGTGCTCCTGTTAATGCAGTCTTACCGATTGTTAAGCGAGTCATTGACCCGTTTTTAAGTTGTAAATTAATATTTTGACCATCAAATATCACTTTATCATTTATTATATCCAAATATTTTTTAGGTGTTAATTGCTTATTTTGTCTTAAACTAACACCCTTCATTTTTTGTGCAATCTTTTTAAAATCACTCCCATCAATTGAACCGTTGAATGATGTATAACATTTAGGACATAAAGCAACCATGTTATCACCTTGTTTCTCAATTGCTAAACCCAATAATTTTTTCTCATGTGCTTTTTCTTCAAGCTTTTATTCTTTAATTTAGGTTTAAATTTCTCATCAAAACAGAAGAAATCAAATGGTGCGAATTTTGAAAATGTTTTTTATCATAAAATTGTTTATCGGTAACAATTGCTTGAAATGCTTGAGTGTTAGGAAGATTTGGGTCGCCAGCGATTGCCCAATAAGATGAATCAGTATCACCTTCAATGAAATGAAAACGATTAACATTCATGCATTTATACATAAAATCATAAATGAAAACCAAATACCAGTATTTAGCATTATCTAAAGTGAAGAATGCCTCTTGTAAACATGTATCACATCTATAAAATCTATCTTTAAGCATCACTTGATATGTATCTCACCTATTTCTCTTATGTTTTTAAACTTATTTGACATACATGCAACGCGTGCCTTCTGTGCATTCATTATTTTAGTCTTTGCGTAATTTTGTGTATTCATTGCATCGTAACCATATGATCCATTAAGTGAAATCTTGCAAAATAAACTTTTTCCTTTATTTCCTTCTAATTCAGCCTTTTGTCTTTCGTTCATAAATTCGTTCGCAAATTCATTAAAACAAGTGTTTTTAGTAAATGTTAAAATTGATTGAATATCATCGATGATAAAATGAAATCTGTCTATTAGATACCAAAGATAATAAGAAGAAAATGGTTGATATTGGTTGTGTGTTGATGCTAACTGAGTTAATTTCCTCTGTTTCTGGTCAACTGGTAGATTGTTTGATTTCATGTAATTATACATAAAACTGCCAATTGTTTTTTCATCTGTGATAATATCTAAGTTTCTTATTATCGGTAAAAAGTTTATGTAATCATTAATGTATTTTTCATCAATGTGACCCTTTACTTCAGCCACGAATAAAGTATTTTTCTTCTTAATTATTCCCAGCTTTTGCTTTCTTTGTTGCTGTATCACAAATGATAACACCATTCAATCTTCCCGGCATATACATTTTATGGTCAGTATATTGAATGAAATCATGAGGATTAGATGAAAATGATGAAGGATATAATGAATTAAAATCAACACCAACGAAATGAGTCATAATGTTGGTGGTGTCCTCATTTGATACAGTTTTAGTTTCTGGATTATATGAAAGTTTATTAATGTGCGTGATTCCTTTAAGATTTACTCTATGTTGAACATTTGATAAACCACCAGTAATTCCATTACGGAGAATGTGATAAGCTTCAACTGAATCTAAAGTCATTGGTAAATTATTTTTTAATGCATAATTTCTTAAATTGATTCTTAAACGTTGAACATCTTCATCTTTATTTGATTTTACGACATTGCAATAACAACACATTAACTGACAATTTTCTTTGGTATGTGGTTTTTCATTATCGATTCTATCCAATGTTGGTTTATTTGCATATGTAAACGCTTTACCACACATTTTGCATTTAGATGAAAGGATTAAATCGTGATAGTATTGAAAATCATCCATTGAAACATTATTTTTAGTATCCCTTTCTGCTTTTTCATCTTGTTTCTTATATGATTCAATTTTATATTTCCAATACTTTTTCGTTAATTCAAAACTTGATTCTATCTCTTCCTCAGGATATTTTTCATTAGGATTAAAGTCTTTATATGCTAAAGCGTAACGAATCATTGAAGCATTCGATGATAAAGAAAGATTATGAAGCATGTCAATTTTATAAACAAATGTTTCTTCAATAATTTTATCAATTGGGTCAATCATAATTTCAACATCTTTATTGCAATAATGAATAAAATATTCTAATCTATTCTTAAAATTTTTAGCATCATTGAGATATATTTGATAATCACTATCTGATATAGTTTCTTGAGTTAATGCTGAATAAAATGAATCTTGAGTGAATGGTTCCACTTTATATAATTCTTCTTCGTAATTTTCCCATGTGATGAATTGATAAGGGAAAAAGGATTTAACACGTGATTTATTGTTTCCGAAATCTTGAGTGAATTGGTCTAATGTCCCACCCGCTATATAATTTCTGATGTCAATAAATCTCAATTCATATGGAACGTTTGTTTTCTTTACAATGATTTGCTTAAATTGTGAAGATGAACCCAGCATTGATTTTATTTTCCATTTTGCAGTGTTTAAATCACGAAGAATTAAATTTAAATCAAACTTTCCCGAATTAAAACCTATGATATTCACTTTATTGAATTCCTCATCTAGAAGTTCTTTAAATGCTTCCTTCTGTTTTTCATTTAATGTATGAGACAAAGTCCCCGCCGTTTGGTCCGTTTGCGACTTCATTAATTCTTCATATTGTTCAATATTTGATTTAGCAACTAATGAACAGGTTGAAAATAAAAACTCAATCCAATCAGAAATAAAAGAATCACTCGAAGTTAAGCAAAAATTCCTCGTATATGTTTTATCATTTAATTTAACCGTTGATGATACCATGAATGGTTTTAAGTAAGCGTTCAAAGTTGCACACTCAGAAAGTTGTAATTCTTCTTTAGTCTCTAATGTTTCGAAGTCAAAAGTAATATAATATCTTGTCGGTTGATAATATTCCTGCAAATTGTGAGCTAATAACCACTGATATATCTTCTGTTTCGTAATATGTGGTGCATATGGTTGCTGTGTCTTTTGCAACTGAACGTCTTGAATTAATCTTCCATTATTTTCTTTACATTTCTCACAATGCTTTAAAAATCTTCTTTGGTTTTTCCTTTCTGGATCATCACGGATAGAATAAACTTCTTCTTTACAATATGGACAAACTCTATAGCCGGTGAGTGCTTCAACGTCTGTTATTCTGTCAGCGTGAAGTTTTCCACATGGACTCTGTGTTAATAAAATATTTACTGTTTCAAATTCTGGATCTATCATTATTGATTCCACTAATGGAAAGTCTACCTTATTTATGTCCACGTCTTCTGGTTGAGGATCACAATAATAGAAATCAATATTAACATTTAACATTCTCGCTAATCTCTCACTTTCTGATGAAATGTCAAACCCTTCATATGCATCTATTGCTTCATTTAAATAGCTTCTACGAGTTTTAGGATTAACACCATCAGGAATGTTATAGAAGCGTTTAAATAACCTTCTACCTTCTGCTCTAATTTGATTATCATTCATTTTAGCTGTTCCGTTTTTGTTCATTTATGTAAGAATAAAAAATTAAAAAATAAATAAAAATAAAGTTTATTTTTTAAAGCCCATAAAATGAATTAAGAACACATAAATTTTTATCATCTGCGACGTGACGAATACATTTTAATTTACTCAAGAATGCGTACCCTGATACATTAAATCTAATTCCTGTCTTATTTAATTTCACAACTTTGAAAAGGAATGTATGAATAGCTATAAAATGATGAGAAGATGTTTTATGGGTTGCTTCCATTTTTTCTGAAATAAATGAATAAATATAATGCTTATACGTTTTCATATCTTTTATGTTCTTACTAACGAATGGTATAGACCTTTCCACTTCATCTTCCTTCGGTGCTGTTCTTTCATATGAAACATTATTGGTATCTTCAATAATGAAACCACAATCACACAAAATTTTATAGGTTCCAATAGTTTCTTTTGATATTTTATCTAATAAATCAAAAACTTTATCAACACCTGTGCATTTATTTAAATAATAATTTGTGTAAATATCATGATCTTCTTTCTTAATCGTATTAGTTGCATAAGTCACGTTTTTAAGAGCTTTTTTGAATTTCTCAGAATCTAAAGGTGGTGAAAGTAGGATACAGGGGTATTCTTCATTATCAATAAATTGTAACTTATGTTTACGAATAAATTTAGTACCTTCTTCTGAAAGTGTTTCGTCTATTTCACCATCTAATAAATTTTGTGTTGATTCTGAGACATAATTTTTATATCTTTCTTCATGAGATTTCTGAACTGCTGATTCTGAAGCTGGGATATTCATTAAACCCTCTACTTCATTTTCATTATATTTTTCAACTTCTCTTAATTCCTTAATTTTTTCATCTATTTCATCTCTTATTTTTTCCAGTTTTTCAATTTCATTGTATTCATCATCATCTTTAATCCGTTCTTCATAATATTCAGGGAAAACATCAGGTTCTTTAGGTTTTTCTTCTTCAGATATGGGATATAAGAAATTTATAACATCATCTTTATTCATTTTTCCATCATAATCTAAATCATTTAATAACTCGGCAAATTTTTGACAATTTCTTAAATAATATTTACTAACTTCATAACACATCTCATCTAATATACCCTTTATTTCCTCGTTTGTGAATCCTAATTTTTTAACGTTGTTAGTTTTGACACTCATTTCATACAAAATAAAAATAAATTATTCAAAAATGTAAGACATGAATTTTTAAAGTTTATTTTTTTATTTTTTTATTTCATTATGGTAGTGAATCTTTTATTCATGAAAATAATTATTTCTAATTTCTTTTACTCTCTCATACATACTAGATTTAAAGAATTCAGAACATTTCCCATAATCTCCTAAATGTTTTCTTATCCCTAACGTGTGCCAGTTATTATATGAAACTGAATAAACTTTATCTTTATCTTTAAACCTTTCATCACTTCCAATATATTTATATCTCAGTTTTGATTTAGCATTTTCATATTCATTAGCGTTTAATAATTCACAGTCTTCCTTTTTAAATTGATGTTTAAGATATTCAGGATTTAATACTCTACGTTTATATGCTCCTAACTTAGTTCTAAAGGTTTTTCTACAAAATTTAGGAATTCCATCCTCTTTAATGTCATCAATGATTTCCATTTCATTATTTTCAATTTCTTCTTCTCGTTTATGAGGTCTTTGATTATGACTCCATTGATTCCATGAAATTAAATATTCTTTATCATTATATTTATACCTCATTAGCTTATTTTGGCTTTCATATTCATTTAATAATTCACAGTCTTCCTTTTTAAATTGAAGTTTAACCCATTCAGGATTTAAACAATGTTTAATTAATCGCGGAATATCTGACATCATCTATATATAGCTTCTTTTATAAAAGATAAAAAATAAATTATTTTAAAATTAATGTTAATTTTTTAATGTGTTTAGTATATAAATATTTTAATGCATCGTCTATATATAGATGCAACAAAAAAAGTCACACAACCCTTCCTATCCTACTACTGTTAAGGCTGTTCTGAAAATATTTTTTTCGAAAAAATTCGAAAAAAATTCTTAAAATTCAAAAATCCCTTAATTCCTGAGGATTTTGGAAAAAAGTTTTTACATGAACATGTGTATATTATATGAAGTATATTGATAAGGTAAAAATCAAATTTTATTGCATATTCATCGAGAAAATAAACTAACGAATCCATCAAAATTGAGAGGGTAATCCTCCTCCTCTCAAATAAACGTACATACGGGTGCACCCTTAAAATAACAACTATATTAAAACATATGCCTCTCACAGCTTGAATATTATGCCTTTTAAAATCATTAAAGATAATAAATTTCTCACATATTGACGTTGGTTTCTTTATACCATCCTTAAAGAAAATAATTGAGATACAGCTATATCTCATACCGAAATGGCTCACCAAAAAGGTGACATTTTTGGCGCCAATAATTTGATTTTTCTGATTCTTTCTATTTAGATATATTTATTTAATATTCATATTCCTTTATATTGCCTCATATTATTTCCCATCTTTAATCATATTATACAAATCTTTAATAATTTTTAATGTTTTGAGCTTCAAAATCTTGTTCTAACTATTTTCATTCATATATCCTAGAAAAAATTAAAAAGTTTTTTAGAAATAAAAATGTTTGTATGTAAAGTATTGAAAATATTCTAGATGAGAAGACATTCTCCAAGAGATTGATATTGATTGGCTTTGTGAAGCCATCACAAAATCAAATAATGGAGTTAAGTTAACTGATATTTGCGCGAAAGCTAAAATAAATCATGAAGGCAGAGTTATATATAATCATACTATCTTAAAGTATTCCTAGAAATTTCCAAAATTAACCGAAATATAACTGTACAGAATTACTATTTTCGAGATAAAATTCATATGGAAATACTAATTCATAACGCTTTATGTTATATAAAATTTAATTTATAAAAATTTCAAAATAAATCAAATTTAACACAATGAATATAACTGCAATCGAGGTTTTTGACGATTGATTCTTACGAGAAGTTTTCCAAACTTTGAGTTAATGTCAAGACATTAACTCAAAGTTTGGAAGTCTAATAAGGGGAATTGTAGGCTATGAGGTACTGATTATATATCAGTGCCTCATAGCCTGCAATTCCCATTAGAAATCGGAGAAACTTTGTCCGCATAACTTATGATGCGGACAAAGTTTCTCCCATTTCTACTTAGAATGAAAGGGCAAGAGGTATATAGGTACACTATATATCTCTTGCCCTTTCCTTCTTACCTAAAGACTTCCAATCTTATTTTTTTCCAATTTTTCCCCTAAATTTAAATATTATATAATATAAATAAAATGCATAATATCAATCACAAAAATTAATGTTTATTTTTTTAATTAAAATTGCCGCGCAATTTAAGGTTTTCTGTCACTTTTTTGTTAGCCATTTCGGTACGAAACAATTGAGATACAGCTATTAGAACTCAAATCTTAGCTTGTCCTATCTTATGTTTGATTGAACCACTAATTGTCTAAAGATTTATTTAATCTTAATCCCATATTATCACATGTTATAGCTTATTATGCATATACTTCTGTTCTAGGTAAATAGTTACCCGTGACTTTTTCTCAAAAGATGTTCTCTCAATCTCATTATCTCGTCACAGGGACTCATTTTTCTTCACAAATATATCGATTGTGTCTATAATGAACAATTTCAATTATCCGTGTTATGATTTTCAATCAAAAAAATGAACAAAAGAATTCCATTGATTTAGCTAACTCATTTCCAATAGATATGCATATTCAAACTTTCAACTCAAGATAATGGTATGATGAAATCATTTGTAGAAGATATCATAATGATGGCAAAATTGTAATCACACAAAAATAGCTCAATTTCAATAGAAAATAAAATCATATCATATGAGGTGTTGAACGATCTTGTTCGTGTCCGAGTATTTTTGATCGATGAAAAATTCAAATTTTGATTATAACTGTGAAATGTTATAGTTAATAAATCAACTTAAGTATACTAGACAAATCTGAAATAAAGGAGATAATCAGCAAAAATCAAACTTTTCTTTCCCAATTCTATCGATTTATCGGTTCAAGCATTAGCATTAGGAAATTGCCATTATACATAGCACACTTACGAAAGATTTCTTATTACAGGCAAAAATAAAGTTAAAATGAGAAATTGATTTTTTGATGAGTTGAATATCGAATAATTATTAAGGGTCGGCTCTACTCACTGCTTTTTACAGGTGTGCAGTGCCTTTGTTTCACGTATTGCAATGATCATTTTTTTGAATTAGGGCTGCGTATATAGTATTAAAATTAATATTTATCTTAAGTTTCAAAGTTTTAAGGATTTGTTAAATCAAATTATTGTATTCGAATTTTTTAGCAAGAAATATTTAGCCCCGAATCTCAAGAGATTATACTAAATATGAATATTTGATAAATTGTACATTTTATAGATGTTAAAACCTTTGCTTTATACCAAAAATGAAAAAAAGAATAACAAAAATTTAAAAATTCAGGTAAAAACTTTAATTTTTTAGTCATCAATATTATAAAAAGAAAACTTTTCGGCTATATGCCTTTCAGTTTGTGCATGGAAAAATGAGTATAACAGATTTTTATAATATAATTTTTTATTCAAAATCTGAATATGTACTTCGAAGTGACTTCTAATATGCATTTGAAAAATACAAGTGACATGAAAATTGAGAGGGATACTCTACTAAAATTTTGATAGTGATCTTAGAAGCGTAAGAATCAAGTTGTATCCCTTTCTGCAGGAGTAACTCGGATATATTCATGAAGAAAC